CTATATATCACCCCCACCTTCAAATACTGAGAAAGTGGAATTCACACCACTGTCATAAATCTCATCAAGTAGAAATCTCCATAACCAGATTCCGTTTGATAATCTTCTTCTTTATGTTGGATCTCAAATCTTATTTTTCTTGTCAAAAGAAAGAAACTATGAACATTGCTTCCACAAAAACTCAATGTTTGCCACTTAAATTGTGTCTGATTTCTTGAAAATCTTGATTCCATTCAGTACTCTGTTCCGCATTCTCCGCTTCTTGTTCACCATTGTTGCTTCTTCCATTGACTCCATTTCGGTGTTTTCGCAGCTTTAATGGCGCACTGACTCTGCATAAAGCCATTAACCTTTCCCTGTCAAATTCTTTTATTTTCTCAGAACAAAAAAAAAGATAACAAATTGGTCAGAGCAAGTTGGCGTAAAGTCTCCAACAGAAGAAGGAAGAAAAAGAGAACTTTCCCGTGTCATTTCGTCACAAGCTTCATCACTATTTATAACTACATTGCTAACAAGAAAAGCCTTAAACCTTCAAGAAAAAAGCTTTTTCAGTTTTCACATAACATTTTCTTATTGAAAAAATGTCGATTTCTTGTACCCGAAACTTCTTTGGAAGATTTTGTGTTGAGGAATACAATATCGACACCATAAAACAGAGTAGTTTTCTCTCTTCTGATCTTTTACCATCTCTTGGAGCTAGAATTAACCAATCAACTAAGCTTCGTAAACACATAATCTCTCCTTTTAATCCACGATATAGGTAATTTTGCTCGTCTCTAAACTCATTTATGTAAAATTTAACTGATTATGTTCTGTTTTTTTTCTTCTAATCCTCTGTTTTTATGTTGAAGCAGAGCATGGGAGATGTGGCTAGTCATTCTAGTTATTTACTCAGCTTGGATTTGTCCATTTGAATTTGCCTTCATTACTTACGAAAAAGATGCGATTTTCATCATCGATAACATTGTTAATGGCTTCTTCGCCATTGATATTGTTCTCACCTTCTTTGTCGCCTATCTCGATAGCCACTCTTATCTTCTAGTTGACAATCCTAAGAAAATAGCAATAAGGTGAGACAAAAAAAAAACTAAAGTTTTCATTGGACGTTTAAACCTTAATCAGTTTCTCAAGAAATGTCTTGAAAATGTAACATTTTCATTTTCAGGTATCTTTCGACATGGTTCGCCTTTGATGTGTGTTCGACAGCACCATTTCAGCCTTTGAGCCTCCTGTTTAACTACAATGGGAGCGAACTAGGTTTCAGAATCCTTAGCATGCTCAGGTTATGGCGTCTCAGACGCGTTAGCTCGCTATTCGCAAGGTTCATTTCAAATTTTCAATGCTAAAAGACCATATTCTTCTTGAGGTTTGATTATGAAAGTGCTTACTCATTTCTCTAACACTTTTCCTTTGATTTAGGCTTGAGAAAGATATCCGTTTCAACTATTTCTGGATACGATGCACAAAACTCACCTCGGTAAGTTCGATAATAGAGTAACAAAGAAATTCATTTCATTATTTTTATCATCTAGAACTCACACACGCATTAGTACAATCCATTAGGCTACATATCCCCGTGTATACAAGAAAATATATGATGAATAAGAAACTTACATTACATGTGCATTTTCGATCTCAGGTCACTTTGTTCGCTGTACATTGTGCCGGATGTTTCAACTACCTGATTGCAGATAGATATCCAAATCCAAGAAAGACATGGATTGGAGCTGTGTATCCAAATTTCAAGGAAGCAAGTCTCTGGAATAGATACGTAACCGCTCTTTACTGGTCGATTACGACATTAACGACCACGGGATATGGAGATTTGCATCCTGAGAATCCAAGAGAAATGTTGTTTGACATTTTCTTCATGTTGTTCGACCTCGGTTTGACAGCTTACCTGATTGGAAATATGACCAACCTTGTTGTTCACTGGACTAGCCGAACCAGAACCTTTGTAAGTTTGATCACTTGCTTTTAATCTTGGCTTGTTATTAATCTGTTGAAACTAAGAAAAAGAATACTAATTCTCTGTATTCAACAGAGGGATACAGTGAGAGCTGCTTCAGAGTTTGCTACAAGAAACCAACTCCCACATGACATACAAGACCAAATGTTATCACATATTTGCTTAAAGTTCAAAACAGAGGGCTTAAAACAACAAGAAACATTGAACAATTTGCCAAAAGCAATCAGATCAAACATTGCAAATTACCTCTTCTTCCCAATTGTTCAGAACATTTATCTCTTTCAAGGAGTATCTCGTAACTTCCTCTTTCAATTGGTAGAGATTATTTACATTCTCTTTAACTTTTCCTTTCAACTCAATATCCATCATTGTAGTAACTCTAAGTGGTTTCATGATTTATATGTTCAAGGTTTCCGATATAGATGCTGAGTATTTCCCACCTAAAGAAGATATCATTCTACAGAACGAAGCGCCTACGGATCTTTACATTCTTGTCTCAGGAGCAGTGGTGAGCGAATTATATCGGTTATCGATAGAAAATGTAACCAAAGGCATAGGAATATTAAAAAGGTAGCTTCTAACATTTGTGTAATTGTTGCAGGATTTCAGTTCTTACGTTGATGGACATGATCAGATTCAAGGGAAAGCAGTTATTGGAGATACATTTGGAGAGATTGGAGTTTTATGCTATAGACCACAACCTTTCACAGTAAGAACAACCGAGCTATCTCAAATACTACGGATAAGCAGAATATCGCTGATGAGCGCGATGCACGCTCATGGTGAAGACGGACGAGTTATAATGAACAATCTCTTCATGGTATGTGAGTTAAAACCATATGCTTCTTGAAAACTACTGTTTATACAGTTAAAAACAGCGCCAAACTCATTTTTTGGTTTATAAAAACTTGCAGAAACTTAGAGGACAACAGTCGATAGCAATAGACGATACAAGTAATGATCAAGAAAATCGAGATTTCCAACGCATGGGATGGGAAGAGTGGAGGGAATATTCAAGAAAAGATGGTTACGTTTCCAATGTTAAAGATTCGAGTAGCGAAAATGGAGAAACGGCTTTAATGGATGCAATTCACAAGGGAGACACTGAAATGGTTAAGAAGCTACTTGAAAAAGGGATCAACATAGAGAAACCAAAGGCTCTTGCAGAACAACGAGGAAATAAAAGCATATGTGATCTCTTATCAAGTTATGAAATGACAAGAGCTGAAGAAGAGAAGTTAGAGGAAACACAAGGCGAAAAATCGAATAGCGGAAGAGCGGGAAAAAGTCATGGTAACGATTCAGATCAACATTGCAGCTCAAGCATCCAAATCAAGCAATTTAAGAGAAAAGATAAGAGAGTTACTATTCACATGTTGTCACAAGAGAAAGATCGATTAGAGCGCAAGAAGGGGAAGTTAATAGTCTTACCTTCGTCAATTGAAGAGCTTCTAAGACTTGCAGGTAAACTCTAAAACTACTTAGAATTAGTAATTGGTTAGAAAACCATATAGAAAATTTATTAGTCACAATGAGAGGAAAAAATAAAAATAAATGAATTACAAACTTCTAACCATTGGGAATTATGCAGGTGAAAAGTTTGGAGGGTGCAACTTCAAAAAGATTACCAATGCGGAAAACGCAGAGATTGATGATTTAGATGTAATTTGGGATGGTGATCATTTGTTTTTTTCATCAAATTGAGTTTCAAGGTTGTAAGGAGATTAGCCTAATTTTTGATACAAGAATTAGATTATCAAAGGAGAAGTCTTATAAAAAAAACAATAAAACTAAACATTTGTTGATACAAAAACAGAATCATTTTTCACAGCTTGACTCCATCACTCCTAAGAAGTTTCAACTTTCAAGTCACACGAGGTCGTCTTTATTCGTGATTTGGTTGCGATTACGGCTCGAGATTAACCTAATTTTTTTTATTGCTAATCAGTTTGCTAGGTCTATTAACCAAATACTATATCCCATCAGTTGAAAACTCTGAATCGCTTATGTAGAAAAATTGGAAATTTCAATGAAGGAACCATGTTGAGAAAATTCTGTCTTGCTAATATGAAATCAAACAGAAGAGGTTACAAGATCAATCCGACCGAGTTGTGGGCATTGTTCTTTATTTTTATTTTTTTGGCTCAACGACAACTTAAACATTCACCAATTATTGTTTACACTTCTGGGCTTATCAGCCTCTACATACGATTTTAACCAATTTGGGACAGAAAAAATACAACTTAGGGACATTATTCATGAAAAAAATAGTCTCCTTTGCTATTCTATCCGCCGATTTATTACCCTCTCTTGGTCCATAAACAATCCGGAAGTCCTTGGCATCATGGAGTAGCTATCTGATATCTTCCATTAAGGGACCGAGCTTAGGCCATTCCTTCTCCTTACTGCAGATTCCTGCCAGTTCCTTAGAATCAGTTTCGAACTCAATCTGCGTATATCCTAACCTTTTGAGGCTGATAATGGCCCATCTTATTGCCTCCGCTTCTGCTTCAATCACTGAACTAAGACGCGACAATGTTTTGGCTCCCATCCACAGGACTTCCCCTCTCTGGTCTCTCAAGATCCACCCTGTGCCACATGTATTCCTCTGTTCAGACCAGGTGCAATCACTGTTGCATTTCAGCCACTGTTGCTTGGGTGGTTTCCTTCTCACATTCGGACCAGGCATGCTTGTGGTTCCTTTTTCTTTTGCCTCCATTTTTTCATACCATTCTTCTGCATCTTCTTGGGCTCTTTTGACTGTCTCCAAAGGTTCTATATCTATTCCTCTGAATATCATTTCATTCCTAGCCTTCCACAGTCTCTAGAGTAGCCAATGCACTACTTCTTCCCTTCTTGTGGGGATTGTTCTATGGGACCCATGTCATTAATTGAGAAACAGTATTATCATATTTTTTTAAATCTTCTTGGTTTATGTTTTTATATATAAAGTCAAAAAGTTTTTTACATTTACAAATACAAATAATTTGATCATGCATACTTTTTATTAAGTAAAACGCATCATATTATTCGGCATATTATATTGATAATAAAAAATGACTAATCGTTAAGTAAATTTAGAGAAAAAAACAACCTTGTAAAGGAATAAGAGCTTTGTTTAGTAACTAAATAACCACCCCCAAGTGAGACACCATACAAAAATTAAAACCATAAAGAACCGTTTGTTCGTCGTCCTCATCAATTTTGAGGCAACGAAAAGTTTCGATTCACCACCGCAACCACCAACTCCAGATCCGACAGTTTCCCGCACTGTTGTCTTCTGGAAATCCCTTCCTCACTCTGCACACTGATGCTACTCGAACGAAAACTCCACAACCATCAGAACTATAACCGAAAGAGGAGAAAAAGATCCCTGGCAAAACACAATTTCCAACACGTTGCCTATATCTACTAAAGACCCAACTATGGGAGACAACGACTTACACTACTAGGAAAAGAGAATCGTGAATACGGTGAGAAGGATCCAATGCAAGAGAAAACGAATTAATCACAAGTCAAGCAACAGGAAAGAACACAACAAACTAAACTCACAAAATCCGGAATAAATCAGAAAACACAACCGGACAAGCCGGAGACCGAATCCGATTAGATCGGAAGCTAAAAGAAACAAAGCACAAAAAAACTATAAACATATAAACAAGCCACGACGTCGGGCAAGAGAAACGAACTCTTTTTTTGTCAAAGCCTTGTAGAGAGAAAGTTAGAGAGAGAATTCTCACAAACCTTTTTTCATCAACCATAATCAATGGTTAATCAACAAGTTTTAGATGAACAAAAACAAAAATGTTGGAATAATATATAAGAATTATCTGGAAGATGACAAGAAAATGGAGGAAATCAAGAACTAATTTAGTACAAATAAAAACTATTTTGTTGTCATCTTTGGTTAAACCAATTTCGAGGATTCAACTTAGATTCATCTGGTATAACATGTCACATTGAATATATGGCAAAGAATTTTAAAATTTTCTTTACAGCAAAATATTTCTTCAATTGATTTTGTTCGATATTTAGTCTTTGAAGATTCGAACTTGTAACATATTTTTTTAGCTTCTCATCTGAATACTTTTATTTTTCATTCTCTATTTCCGTAGTTGGGCTTTTATGATCCGTAAATTATCGATAA